GGGTTCTCATGTGTGGAGGGGCAGGGAACAGGGGAGGAGAGTGTAATATTTTATATGTGGGGGGGCAGGGAACAGGAGTGAAAGTGTATTATTTATATGTGTGGGCAGGGAGCTTTATGGTAATATTGTTAAAGGTGTTGTTAATATTTATTTATGTAACTTTATTCTGCATAAAACATGTAACAGTGTCATTTATAAGATTATTTAAGAGGCTGTGTTTAGGGGCGAACTTAAGGCTGGGGCAGGGTGGGGTTAGGTGGGCAACTGGTGGCGAGTAACTCTTAAGGCCTGGCTAGTAGCTCAGGACTTGAAATTTTGACCCTTGATTATAGTATATACTATATTTAAAAAAAATCTGTTTATTTAAACTTTGCAGTACAAATGCATACTGATGTTTACATTTTGGATAATAATGTATTATATTAATTTTGTTTTGGGGCGCTCGTGTTCCTTTTTACAGTCTGAAGAAACGTTGATTTCTCACCTTATGGTTCCCAACTTTGCTAGCCAGTCGTCTTACATAAATACGAAAGAAATTGTTTTTGTTTGTTCCACGGGAAGTAGGAGAGGCACTTTCCCACAGGAGACTATTTCATTTGAAGGTATGTATTTACATCATTCTTTTTGTTGCTTTTACACCACTTAACATGTATGCTATACATGTTGAAAATGTCATTCCATCAGTCCTAAATTACTTTTTTTAATACTGTATGCCCTGATCTGGAAAATATTGTACAGTTGTGGCCAAACGTTTAGAGAATGACACAAATATTAATTTTCACAAAGTCTGCTGTTTCATTGTTTTAAGATCTTCTTGTCAGATGTTACTATGGTATACTGAAGTATAATTACTAGCATTTCATAAATGTCAAAGGCTTTTATTGACAATTACATTAAGTTTATGCAAAAGAGTCAATATTTGCAGTGTTGACCCTTCTTATTCAAGATCTCTGCAATGCGCCCTGGCATGCTGTCAATCAACTTCTGGGCCACCTCCTGATTGATGGCGGCCCATTCTTGCATAATCACTGCTTGGAGTTTGTCAGAATCTGTGAGGGTTTTTGTGTTCAATCTTGAGGATTGACCACAAGTTCTCAATGGGTTTAAGGTCTGGGGAGTTTCCTGGCCATGGACCCAAAATATTGATGTTTTGTTCCCCAAGGCACTTAGCACTTTTGCCTTATGGCAACGTGCTCCATCATGCTGGGAAAGTCATTGTTTGTCACTAAACTGTTCTTGAATGGTTGGGAGAAGTTGCTCTTGGAGGATGTTTTTGTACCATTCTTTATTCATGGCTGTGTTCTTAGACAAAATTGTGAGTGGGCCTACTCCCTTGGCCGAGAAGGAACCCCACACATGAATGGTCTCAGGATGCTTTACTGTTTGCATGACACAGGACTGATGGTAGCACTCACCTTTTCTTCTCCAGACAAGGTATTTTCTGGATGCCTCAAACAATCTGAAAGGGAATTCATCAGAGAAAATGACGTTACCTTAGTCCTCAGCAGTCCAATCCCTGTACCTTTTGCAGAATATCATTCTGTCCCTGATGTTTTTTTCCTGGAGAGAAGTGGCTTCTTTGCTCCCCTTCTTGACACCAGGCTATCCTCCAAAAGTCTTCACCTCACTGTGCATGCAGATGCACTCACACCTGCCTGCTGCAATTCCTGAGCAAGCTCTGCACTGGTGGTGCCCCGATCCGCAGCTGAATCAACTTTAGGAGACTGTCCTGACGCTTGCTGGACTTACTTGGGCACCCTGAAGCCTTCTTCACAATTGCACCTCTCGCCTTGAAGTTCTTGATGATCCCATAAATGGTTGATTTAGGTGCAATATGTCAGAATGTTTACTCTGATAAAATAAACAGTTTTCTATTTATGAAAATAACTCGAGTTCGTTTATTTGCGCTAACCTGAAGACAAAATGAGTACAATAGTGTGCAAATATATATATATATATATATATATAT